ATAATGATATATCCTTCAGTAAGTCTGGAGAGTGCCGAATGATGGTCAGTCTGCAAACCTGCGGTACCTACTGCACAATACTGAACGGTGGTGCGGTGGCGGTGCGGTAGCGCGGTAGGAACAACAATGTAATTTGACTCAAAGGATTCATATGTATCTGACATCGTCGCACTTCGACATTTTTGACAATAGCCAGATGATGTTTTCAACGTCTCGTTCCAATTTATATCTGCTAGCTTTTGTTACAGGTACTTCTGCTTTTCTTCCATTTCATAGCCCTCGCTGCAATAATTTCAGTTTGCTATTCCTATCCAGTTTTGAGAGTTCTTCTGTCCGCTTTTCAATTGACAACAAAAAGGCGTTGTTCAACCAGTGGGGTGTGGAGAGATCTACAACAGTTCAAGAATTTCCAGATACAATAAATGATATAATTGATTGCGCTTTTGATACAATTGCCGGAGAAATTTATGCCAAATGTCCACCCTCACAAAGCATCGCTTCCAATGCCATGTCCAAGTCTGTCTTTACCGACCGGCCCGTTCGAAGACGCAGTGATTCCGGAAGGATTGGTATCGAGTTAAGCGGCTTGAGGTCACTTTTTCCGAGTTATCGGAAAATGTCAAACGGTCAAGCAATGCGAATAACAGCCTTGATGCTCTGTAGCAAAGTCTCGATGAATTCATCGTGGGAGCGATTCGAGAAAGCAGAAAATCACCCTGCGGACCAATCTCATAATCCCTATACTCGAACCGTTGTAGCTTACTTCAGTACTCGGTCTGAAGCACTGATGGCTAGCCGCACTCTTCAGCAACTCAAGATTTGCGACAAGAAACATAACTACGAAAATATCCGAATTCACTGTCTATCGGATGGGATTCCAAACGACCTCCAACTGGATATCAGAAGGCGGCAAGTTTGGAATGGGCTCTCTCGTGGAAGTGTTGATGCCAGAAGGGGAATTTGCGTATTAGTTCAACCGACAGATTTCAACACAGAGCAAACTCCAGCAGCACCAGTTGTTGATGCTATAAAGAATTTTCAAGAGCTTGCGGCCAGGGCTTCTGTCCAGCAATTACCACTGATTTGCATATCTCCACGGTTTTTGAACTACAACGATGATATAGTACACGAAATACGCCGTGATCAAAGTGGATATCAGCAATCAGCAGTCTACGGGGGAATCGAGCCTCCAAAAGGACCGACACCTTGGATAATGAGAGACTTCACCCCTCCTAGCTTCTGCTGGGTTGCAAATGCTATTTCTTTGGGAAAATCACCACGGGCCAACTGCAAGCTTACTCGGATCGCACTGTGGCAGTCGGCGATGGAGGAGGATCACCTATGGCATGCGTACGCTTGTCGTGAATGCATGGAAAAAACAGGGATGATTACCACAGACTACCAATATCTAGCAAGCACAAGGAGCACGTCAGGACGACCAACGAAACATCTATTAACGAAGCTTCTTGAGGAGTACAGACCGATCTAGTACCATACTTCTCCGCTATTCAGTTTGTGGTAAGAGTAATATCATCCTCTTCAAGAGAATGCATCAATCGGGCATTGTGCGCCTTGGGGCTTCTTTTTGGTATTTGTTCAAGCAAACTTTTACAGCTGAGATCGTATCATACTTTGTTGCATTGTTGCAATCCAAGAGGGTCTCGAGGTCGGTTATATTGAGTACGAGTAGCAGTACTGGTACCTACCTGGTACCGGTCGGTTATATTGAGTACGAGTACCAGAACCGGTTTTCATCTGGTACGTAGCGGTACCTTGCATGGTACCTGGTACCTGCTAATAATAACAGATACCAGATCACACTTTTCGGAGTGAGGACAGACATCACGACATCGAGGGATGAAAAATTATTGATGGCCTCCTCCATTTTCATTTTTGCCGTGCCGAAGGCTGTAGACTCTTTTTCAATGAACAAAATTTGTATGCTTGTGCTTTCTCTTCTTGCGACCATCAATGGTTTCACGCTGACAGGGGAAAACAGATACGGATCCAAGACTTCTTTCTTTGGTGGATTTGGTTTTGGCGAGTCAAGTACTCCGTCAAAATCAAGGAAAAAGAAGAAGAAAGGAAAACGACTCACCAACGAGCTAATACCGAACAAGGATACGAACGATGTATTTTCCATGACACAGGAAGCACTCGGACCAGAAAAGAAGGTCGACAAATGGGGTTTGCCCATCCAAACTGAAGATGAAATCATTGAGGAGCTATTCCCGTCAATGTCAAAAGAAACAGAAATGATTCCAGTCGTTTCAGGAAAAGAATACACACTACCAGAAATCCAGGATTGTCTCGGAAATCAAATTGATTTAAATCTCGGGCGATTTTTCGATGAGAATGGAGCTGCTACACAGTCGAACGCTGCGAAGCCGATCCAATTGAAGCTCTTGCATCAATCTCCGCCAGTTCTGGCCATCGATAATCTTTTCTCTGATACAGAGTGTGAAGAGTTAAGGAATGCTTCATTAGTTGGCCATGAAGTATCATCTGCAACATTTACTGGATCTTTGTCAACCCGCACCTCCACATCCTGGTTCTGCAACTACGCAGATGTGCCACTATTATTGGCCAAGGTGAACCAGTATTTGAACATTCCATTGGAGTTAATGGAGGAACCACAAATTGTTCGGTATCAAAAAGGGGAAGAATTCTCATGGCATTATGACGCAGTTCCGGAAAATGCCTTGGAAAATGGAGGGCAAAGATTGGCAACTCTTCTTGTTTATCTTACTGATATTGCATCAGAAGATGGTGGAGGGACAATGTTCCGTGACCTAAAATATGATTCAGAACCTCTTTCAATGCAACCTAAAGTGGGCTCGGCTCTCTTATTTTTTCCTGCAAAAAGTGACGGAACGCCCGATGCGCGCACATTGCATCGAAGCGAAGTCATGACTGGAGATGAAGAGAAGTGGATCATCCAAATGTGGATTCATGAGAGAGAGTATAAGGCTGTTCTTCCAATTGGCAACTCCCATGAGTTGGCCGGTGACGGGGTTCGAAAGACTATTGTGAAGCTTGGGCTAGCGGACGACCAATAGAAAGGATCAAGATAAATACTGAAAGATAGATAATCATGAGAGATTGAACTTCCCACGCAGCACGAAGAGTAATAAATTTCGTTATATTTTAAAAATTAAAATAAATACCACTTCCATGAAAATTGAATGCTAC